TAATCAATACATATGTATAGAGTCCACCAAGAGGAGTATTAGAAATGATAATTAGTATGATTTGTAGAGGAAACATTTTTACCACTTGTCGATCAGCTTGTTGTTCAGCAAGAACTGTTGTTTAACAAATATTACGATAAGTTAAATATCCAAATATCATTGTTATTGTTATTGAAATTACACTAATAATAAAAATGAAAAATAATGCAGCATAAAGAGAAGATCCAGGACTATTGGGAATACATACACCAGTAAATAGTGAAATACCCACATTAAAATAACTAACAAGTGAATGAAGAACCCAAATAATGCTAGTAATCAATACAATTTTATATGCACGTTGGATTTTACTAATGTGACGTAATGATGGATTAGAAGATGTAACAAGAAATTGATCCATTGTAGACAAACATGTACAAATAACAGGTATTCAATAGGTAAGTACATATTACTGTTAAAAAAGCAACATTTTCAAAATTAAACAAAGCTGTGCTAGAGGGTGTCGATATGAGAATTTGCGAGTGTGAAGAAATAAACATCTAAACACAGTCTCATCCCTCATTCACGTAATTTATTATCATTGCGACTTCTCTTGCCCCCTGTCATCCATTTATGTTACATTAATAGCAAAAAAACAGTGAGAAGTATGTGTCAATAGAAAAAAGAGCAGAAAGAAATGATCAATAGACGTTAGTTTTCTTCTCCATATTACATATTTGACGTAATTCGATATTTAAATGAATTCACCGTCTCGAACTTGTAAACATTATTTTGCCCTTTGAGATGTGTTTTTTTATTTCTGATCACAGACTATGGTAAAATGTTCTACATTTCTCGTTTCACGTTGCTACATTTTGCTTGCAGAATCGATAGAAGTATATTGTGTGTCAGACATGGTTACAACTAGATGAAGAAAAAGCATTGATCGTCAGTAGTTCTCTTTCTTTTCCTTCATTTGTTCTATCTTCCTCATTTCTTTCCGTCCTACTCATTTTTTTCTTTCGCGGTTGCCATATTTCTTCCTCGGCTCGTCTGACATATTCTTTTTTTTTGTCACTTGTCTCTGTGTTCATGACCCTGACGTCTTACATCACAGGAAAAAGAGAGAATGAAAGAGAAAAGATGAACATTTTTTCGAATGTTGGTTCTATCTCATTCGCCATCGACGAGTGACAAGGAATAGCTTGCAACTGAAACAGACGCAATTGTGATTTTTTGTAAGTGCTGATTTTGTAAAAGAATTAATATGATGAGAACATCTTTTGTACGTTTATTTGATCAAATAGAAGGTTTTGCAATGAAATAATACTATTTTCGTGTCTATTTCATTGATCAAAATCATGATCGTTCTTCTTCAGGTGCTGGAGTAAGACTTGGACAGATTGCCTGAATAGCTGCTGAACCATCTGTAATGTTATTATAGTTTCCCTTCGTACAGATGATCACAACAATCTTGCTGACTTTTTTCCGGTTGTTGATTTCGATTGATACCTTGTGTTGCCGTTGTAAAGCTTCAATCGTATGACCATCGGATCCAAACAGATTAAATAGATCCTGTGGAGCAACAATATAGGCCTTGTGACTATATGCAGTGCTTGGTAAGATAACCTTAGAATGAATCCAATCTACATCGATTTTTAATCGTTGAGCTGGTTTCAAACCTAATAATGCTCGAGACGTATGTTTAAGTTCATAGACTGGCACTGCTATTTGTTTTCCACAAAAATCAATTATTACAGGTTCAAAGACAGCTACCTTCGTCTTCTTTCCATCGAGTGGTGATTCAATTTCAATTGGTGAGCCTAATGTCACTAATTTCAGTTTTTGAATATATTCTGGTAGTAATCCGAGTTCGGACGAACCTGCATCCAATTCAGCTACTGTTTCGAAACGACAGCTATCAGATTCAGGCATCATTCCATTTTAAGATTTCCATAGTTGATCCGCATTGATCAATACTATATCACAGCTTATCCATTGAGTAGCAGCAGATCCGATCCTTGACATGGCTTAACTAGAAATAGAAAATAGAAACATACCAGTTTACATATAAATAAGATACTTTTTAATTTAGGATTTTAAGTTCAAATTAATCCGTAAGATTTCATTTAGTAACTGATTCTACAAAATACAATACACTGCTTAAAGGAAAACTGTCTTCGATCGTACTCAATCTCAATTATCGTAGAGAACAAAATCTGAAGAACTTCGCTGCAAACAGTCTTGAAAGTATTAAAATTCCAACTTTTCAATGATTTCTATTTATAAAATGTCCTTGAATACAATGATAGTTCAAAAAGATAATATATATTACACAATGTATATCTGAATTAAGTTGATGGATCGAGTTGGATTCTTTTGTAGATTTAGACGTCATCAAACTACAAGAACCGAAATATTTTCGACAAACAATCCACTCTGTAATCATTCTCTGATTTTGATTAATGAAGCAAGAGGTAACTGTTTGCATAAATTACGTATTTTACGTGTCGAAAACGAAAGAAGATAGGAAAATAAAATTTGTAATGAAAATTACAGTTACTAAACATAAATAGAAGGCACTTTCAAAAGATCATTCAGAGGTGATATTTTTATTCAACGCAATTACCACTATAAAGTTAGAAATCGAGTAAGAAACAGAGAAACATGTTTCAGCGGAAAATGAACGACATTCTAATTACCACAGATTTTATATTTTCGGTAAAATTTTGGATTGCAGTTTGTAATTAGTTTTCCTAAAATTTCACTATCAAAGGTTAAAAATCCCATATTGTACTCATCATTTGACAAGAATAATCGGTGTAGATGAACTTTACTATGCGTTTTCTAGTCTCATTAAATTTAATAGGTCAATAGTTACTTAATTCTTAATAAGATATCACATCTGAACTTATACCTGTAGTATGAGATCTGAAATTACTATATATCGGCGTTAAAGTCGAAAATAGTACTATTAAACAGTCCATAAAATCATAATTTAAAAAAACAAGCTATTATGATATTATCTTTTATAGTTAGTTTTACGATAGATGCGAATCATCAATGATTGTATGCAAGCAAAAATTAGAAGTGTCTACTAAGCTTCCTTTCAATCAAACGTATATCCAGAACATAAAATAGTTGCATCTAACTATTCGTACATTTCTATCGTATATCTTGCGATTCATAATAATTAAAATGAATTTATAATTAGTTCAGAGTCATCAAAAACAAAACGGGCTCATCATCATGAAGATAACAGTTAGCGAAACTCACGCCAAAAATGTGTGATCATCGTATATATCCGCTTCGGTTGAGTTGTACAACGATAGTGTATCAATAGTGGCACTAGTTTTTGTTTCTATTTGAAACTGATTATGAACTTTTTCATCTCTTGACATCGAAGACTTTTTAAGATGTACGCCGCACTTTTTTAATTCGTAGTCACGCGAGGTGCCTGCTTACATACAAACAATATATATTCTATATACTTGAAATTAACAAATTTTCTTATTTCTAATAGTTTTGAATGGTATCCGCTTTGCATAAGTTCATATCTGAGAATTTCTCACTGAATTGTAACGAAAAAGAATTGGATTTATCGGGTGAATTTTCTTTCCAGCCTGCTATGTTTCGAAATGAGTATAAGAATGAACCTGTCTCAAACGGTAGATTTGAAGAATATATGTGAAGTTTTAATTATTTGAGAAAAAAGAAAAATATGATGCTTTTTTTGTCTGCAGGACGTTTGTTCTGCTTCTGTAGGCAAGAGAGAGAATAAGGCACGAATAACTGTATTTTATAATGTCTGATTTCAGTTTTCAGACGTCTAGGAAACAAGAATCGAAATATGTATTCATGCAAAATCAATTGTTTTATGCTTGTAAAAAGTGTTTAACACACTTTAACACATTGATTTATTGATTACTTTGTTCTATGTTTGTTTCTAACAAAGAGTATATGCGTCTATCGATTCTATTAAAATGCATGAATAAAGAAGTCTTTTAGGTTTAGATCTTCTTATTTCTGAAAGAATCAAGTCTCCGTCTATAGACATTCTTAACACTCAGCTATCGAACGATGTAAAAATATATGAGACTGTTTTTTGCATTTTAATGTATTACGGTACAATCTATAACGATACAATTTGCAGTGAATTAGCAATTGTATGATAATAACAAACACAGATATAATGAATCACGTTGATCACTGATTGAACAGAATATTATTTTCGTAGGCACTCTATAACAAACGAGTATGTCACAGAAGAAAAACATAACTGTCCAATCCTGTCTCCCATTACATAACTATATACTTTATACGCATGTCCCTTTTAGTGAGTACAAGTTGAAAATGTAGGATTGACGACGATAGACTACTCAGTGTTCTTCGATGATGCTTCAGCTCTTGTCTTATTGAGGATAAGATTCAACATCCAAAGGTATGGATTAGATTCAGTTGAGATTGTATATGATAGTATCTCGATAAATGATCCTTTTCTAAGCACTCGAGATTTTTTATTTCAAACCTTCACAACTGATAGGAAAGAAACGATCGTTGGGAGAAATCATTTTACAGACAAATGATGAAAATTGACACGATAGTATTTTAATCGAATGAAAAACTAAGAGATCAAACGTATTTATTTAGATTCATTGTAGTAATTCTTATGATACGGCATCATGTACGAAGTTGACTTCGATCTTCAAATATCAAATCTACGCGAAGAAGCATATCTCAGTGTTGAAAGTGTCGGTCGCGTACAAGTTTCACGTGTTGTCGTCTTGGATGGCGTTCGTCAATTACTGATCAATAGGTTAATGCGTGATCGTCTACATCTCGATGTTGATATCAATCATATGTCGTTGTGTAACATTGGGCCAGGCAATTCAGATTTCGTACCGAATCCTGATCTTTATCAATCATTACAAGATGTCGTTCTACGTCAATATCGAGGTGACCAATGGCAAGGCTACTACTATGTCACGCCAATATTCGTACCAGATCTTCCATGGGATATTGTACTTGGATCTAATCATTTTCATCGACTTGGCGTAGAGTGGAATAGTGAGATAAAACAGTTAGTACCATTGACAACCCAACGTCCTATTTTTCGTCGGCTTATCTTTCCATCTAGACACGAAAGGATAGCAACTCAAGACTTTCTTCGACAATTACTATAAACAAAAGATTATTTCTGGTATTACCAGTTCATTCTTCTTATATGATTTCTCGTTTTGATACTATATATTGTCTTGTTTTTTTTCTGTGCTATTGTGAAATATACAGATACATACTCTCAACAACTATTTGTCTATAGTTCATGTCTTACGCTTACAACATAGACTATTTTATAAATATTTCACCAGGAATAAATCCTGTAATTACGAAGTTCTTTTTATAAGGTACACTATAAAATGATTGATAATAGCTAAAGTGAAAAATCTCTTGATTTGTGACAGTGGTTTCGAGAGAACAAAGATAACATTAGATGCTCTAGAAGACATAAATCTACTAAAAATCAACGTACATGTACAAAAAACTCATTGCTATATACGGTAACGCAGATAAAATGATTCTTTTGACATTCGAACATCGTCAAAAAGAATAAAAATTTTGACGAATAGGATCGACTTTTAAACATAGAAAGAAAACAAATTGTGATGAATATGCCAAATTACTGCATAGTAACATACGTTATTTTTTGTTTTTTCTAGGAAATTGTTGAATTTACTCAGCTTAACAATATACGCAAAATCGACAAAGTTATTTTTATCTCTATATCTTTTTGAATAATGAGATATTTCGTCATTTCGTAGTACTTCTGTTTCACAATTAAAAAAATGATGTCACTAACTTAAATTCCTGTAGAGCACTTCATGGCTTTGCATTCTTAAATAAAGTCATAGTTTTTAAGATTTATTATCGATAAAATATATGTGTAACATATTGGATATCGCACTTATTTTGACTCATCCGGCATACATATATATTTATTTAATTGGAATCAACTTCTGTTTAAACAATACTCTTATGGTCTAAAAAGAAATGTATTTGCAAATTCTTCTATAGTTTTATATTTTGAATGAAGAAGTGTTGAAAGTAAAAATGAGTTTGTATCTACTCATGTAAGTACGAAAAAATTATCCTGTTCTCTAAGAAATAATTAAGAAATAATCGAAATAATATGATTTATGCGCAAATTGCCATAGATACTTGAACATATTCTTTCTCTATATATTTTCTTGTTAATTATCTTTTTTTCTCTATCGAACGATGATAAAATTCTATTCAGAACAGAGACCGTCACTTAGCAGGGCTGCCCTGCAATTTTTTTCATAAAAAGTCATTTGAGAAATATGCTTTAAATGCAAACATGAAACTTTCAGAACATATATCTTCTACATAACTTAACCAAATAATGATGATTTCATGTCTTCAGTTGATTTCATTAAATCTTTTGGATCTTATACTCCTTCTAATTCGTCGCCGTGTTACACAAAGCCTTTCGATTTCGAGAACATTCAACATCTCTTATCACATCAAAAGCACCTATATCAAATAATAAGAAATAAATCTCCATCCTCTGCTAAATGCTGAAGAACCTTCCGTTCTCGACTTCACTAAATAATGACAATCAATCACAAATAACTACTAGTTTTAGTGATAGATACTTGAGGGTGTGGGTGTGGGTGGGTGAGTGTGGATATGGTTGTGTGCCGTTTCCAAGCAAACATCCGCACCCACACCCACACTGGTACCCACCCACCCATGCCCACACTCACCCACACCATACCCACACCCACACCCTCATATGTTGCGCTGTAATTTATAGGAAAAGTTTGAACTTATTTTGAGGTGCTTCACTTTGCTGTTACAATGCTTCGTTTATGGATGTGCAACAAAAATAAATTATGTAATTCGAAAGATGAAAAAGTTCTCTATCTTTTTGTAAATAAAGACTTTCTTTCAGCACTCTTCTATTGCAGAGTCCTAGGGATCGACATTTGTTCCAATACTTTTGCATCAGATGTTCTATTAAAAGCTGCAGCTCAAAGACTTCAAAAGACTTCCTGAGACTTCAAGACTAAAGTGTCAGTTGTTTCTTCCTCGGAGCTACCCAAATCTGCTCGAATATACATGATTTGACATGGAACGTGTTCGTATTGATCAATCCTTACTATTGAATGAGTATTCCTCATCATTTATTTCGAAATATTTTAATCGATTCTTTGAACTCAAAAATGCTATGTCTGTATTTGAACGTCTCGATGCTCAAATTTACCAAGAATTGCATCAAAAATTATTTTATCGACCGACACACCGCAAGAAACAAGTACAAGCCATGATGAATGAGATTGAACAGATACCGAACATATGACAGGTCAATTTTGCGTATGGTAGAAACACCATCTTGAACATAAAGTGTCAAATGTAGCACATGTAAAGATCAGATTTGCTGTGAAAATCAATCAAACACTTGTAGATTTTTTTGTACATAAGAAATTCCGACGTCACATGTTGATCAGAAAATTAAACAATGCCATCCAAATAGCCAGCAATGTCACGAATATGAAAGCATAAATAAAAACTTTTCCTAGGTCACTTTGTCCTGAATTTGAAATTTAGTATTCCACGATCTTACCCCTACGAACAGTCGAATACAGATGCACCTCTTTCCTCAATATATGAGCCCGTTCAATCGATATAAACACATTATCTAATAAAAACTGTAGTATATTATCTACTTTTACTTGTAGATGATGTAACCGATGCGTGTTTTAAAATTATGGGCACGAAATCAATATAATTCTGTTGAAACCCAACATTTTCCATCAAAAAGATATAGAAACATATGAAGTCAACAATGGTTGATTTACAGAACTAAACAAAAACAACATTTAAAAAGGTTAAACATGTAAAAGGTGGCTATAAGTAACATTCAATGAGAATCCATCCTTGAAAGCGCTGATCAATACGTTCTTAGCGGCACCGAACACGACGACTCGAAATGATCATCGTATGATTGCTTGATTTCTAAAATTTTTATCTAAACACACCCTACACCCACCTTCCAAAAACAAAAAACTCGTTTTATTTTATCAAGAAAGAGCAAAAGTCATTTGAATGCAAATAATGTAGAATGAAACAAAAAGAAAAACTTCATGTCAAATAAAGATAAGTACATGCAATGTCATCGTTCTCCATCGTATAAAACACTTTTATCTATGAAACACAATTACACATACTGTCTTTTTTAAAATGCAACAAACACCAGCTTCTATACTACGACTATTACTATTCGTCATATGTAGTTATTTACTAGCAATCATAGCAATACTAATTGGATTCATTAGTCAATTCTTATATTGGCTTGTATTTGATTCATTTGGCCGTTATGAAAAACGAGCTAAAAGAAAATTAAAATGTATGAATGATCAAAAAGATGGTGAATACTATGCTATTATAATTGGTACTGGTTTTTCTGGTCTTGGCTCGGCTATTAAACTAAATAAACTTGGAATAGATAATTATATTGTAATTGAACGATATGGACATGTTGGTGGTACATGGTATGCTAATAAATATCCAGGTTGTGCATGTGATGTTCCATCAAATCTTTATTCATTTTCATTTGAACCTAATCCAAAATGGTCACACTATTTTAGTCGACAACCTGAAATAGCTGAGTATCTTGAATATTGTACAGATAAATATAATATTCGTCAACATATACAATTTAATACAAATGTTACACAATTAAAATGGATTGACGAACAAAACTTATGGCAAGTCACAATTCAATCAAATAATCAAGAAAAACAACTTTTTGCTCGAATTATTATTGCAGCTACTGGACCATTATCAAGTGCTTCTTATCCAGCTGATATTCCTGGTATTGATAAATTTGAAGGTCAAATGTGTCATACATCTGAATGGGATAAAACAATTGATTTTAAAAATAAACGTGTAGCTGTTATTGGTACTGGAGCAAGTGCTATTCAAGTCGTTCCAGAAATTCAACAGATGAATGTATCACAATTATTTGTTTTTCAACGAACACCACCATGGATTATTCCTCGAGTTGATCGACGTGTAAGTAATTTCGAAAAACGTCTATTAACATATTTTCCAATTATTCAAAAATTGATTCGAAGAAGTCTTTATTGGTCACGTGAAGCTTTAATACTTTCATTTGCTTATCGTTGGCCAATTCGTTATGTTAATGAAGAACTAGTTAGAAGTAATCTTAATAGAGAGATAAAAGATATAGAATTAAGAAAAAAAGTTATACCAACATGGGATTTTGGATGTAAACGTGTTTTAATAAGTAGTGATTGGTATTCAACATTACAAAAATCAAATGTAAAACTTATAACAAATCGTATTAAACAAATTAAATCACATTCAATTATTACTTATGATGGAGATGAATATCCAGTTGATATTATTATTTGGTCAACAGGATTTCAAACACAAAAATTTGCAGTACCTATTTATGGAATTAATGGTTGTTCATTAGCTGAACAATGGTCTGAAACTGTAAAGGTAAATTTATTTCATATATATATACGTGAGTGTATTGCAATTTTTTGATACGATTTCTTTTCAATGTTATTCTTTAGCTCATATGCTTGCTGGGTAATGAGCCGTGTATTGTGAAAAAATTGTAGTTTATAGATAAATGTGTTTAGAAAACGAAATTTTGTAAAAATCAAAAGCAAGGAAAAAAAAGATAATAAATAATTCATTCTGTAAAGATTGAAATGTTCTGTCGAATTATATGTCTTTCTCTATTTCCATGCCCATTCATCCTAATTATTGTATGACAAACGTTTGATCATTTTCGTGTAGAGTGATCTTGTGTTTCAATTTCCTCAATCTTTCTACAAGTTGAAGAAAAGTGAATGTAACTTTTTTAAGTGAAAGATTCTTTTTTGGAAAACAATTTGATAAGAAAAAATCTTCTTATGAACGACTCTCCTTTTCAGTAAGGAAAGGAAAACGATCTTTTTCTAAACATTCAAATTTCATTCACTTTTATTGCGAATAACATCTGCACAACTCATCCCTTTTCGATCGAATTTCTATCGTAGATCTGTTTTTTAGAGTTGTTTATGTGTCTACATCTTATCACTCTCGAGAAATTCGCATTGCATGATGAAATGTAGATTGACTCTTTGTGAAAAAAGATCTAAAAGGAATAGGGATAGAAATTAGGAGCCATTTTCCTCCTCCACAGATCATGACAGATATTGTTGATGTAAGATAGTGAAATAGCCAATGAAGTTTTCTATCTAATGCATTTCATATAAAGATTTCATATGGTAAGACTTCTAAAAATCGAGATACAGTAGTCTTCAGGTCCCTGAAAGACTAGTTTTTAACAATGTCATTTTGAAGAGCACAAAATGAGGTGTCATCGTGTTTTCTACGATATTCCTTTAAAAAGTTAAAAGTACTACAAAAACTGTAAAAAAATACGTTGTTGGTAAACTTTTTCTATCACTTTACATTCAAAGACCGTATATCAAGAACATCTCATTGTAACATCTGAACTAAATCATTGAAAACAGAAGATGATATTGCATCGAATCATATATTATAGGCTCTCCTAAGATGTTTTCTGATGTTTTTTTTAATTAAATTTTTTAAAGAAAAATGTCGGAAAAATGGTTCCTTTTAACATAAGAGAAAAAAGCAAAAATGTGATTTTTTTCACAGCAGTTGATTGAAAAATCGGTCGAGAATTTCGATTAGAATGTCTATGACTCCTAAATAATCAAATCTAAAAATCTGAGACTTGTGTAGTTTATTTCAAAAAAAAGTCGATTGAAAACCTGAAAAAAACTTGTAATATATGATTTCATGCGTCTTCATCTCTTCTTTCTAAAAATGAAAATCGCAGCTCTCTATCTTGTTTGTATCAGAAATTATTAAAAAATTCTCATCCGGCTTTTTTTTGTGAAATAGATATTACTTCCTGATGAGATACATTTCTAGAGGATTAACACAAAAGGATAATGAAGACATGTATCCCAAGATAGATAGAATAAAATAATCTCTCTGTGATAAATGACATTGTGTTTTTTGTATTTTAATCTCACAGGAATTGTGATAATAAGTTTTTTGAAAAGAATATAGACTAACCTTTTTTATGTGATAGATTAGCTAAAACTGTGCTAAAATAATTAATTTTATCACATAGAGTTTAAATGAACTACCGCAGCTTGTAGAATGACATTTTTCATATGATATTTCAAGTAACAGTGAATCGACATGGATTGTATCTTGTATCATTGACTTGGTTTGATTTCAGAAAATGATTCTATTTTTATTTCAAATGTCGATTATGGATTAAAAAGTAGTTTCACATGTAGCAATTTTTCCATTTTTCATATCATGTTTACACTGAAATAGGAAAAGAGTTAGTAAACTTTTGCTGTATAACATAGGCATAGAATATAATAAAAAAATATTACTGAGAACATATTTAAGTCTACTTTTAGTTTTCGAGTCGATCATATCAAAATGTTGCAATATACTAATATATGCATATACATATATATTTGAATGATGTGTTTATTTTGTAAGGCATATCGTGGTATAACTGTACCTAATTTTCCAAATTTGTTTATTCTTCTTGGACCTAATTCTCGTCTTGGTCATTCATCTGTAATAATTATGCTTGAAGCTCAATTAGAATATATGGTCGAAACTCTTCTTTATATCGATAAGAATAATTTACGATCATTTTCAATAAAACAAAATGTACATGATGCATATAATCAATGGATACAATCGAAATTACATAAAACAGTATGGTATTTAGGTGGTTGTCATTCATGGTATCAAAATGTAAAAGGTACAGTTACAACAATATGGCCAGATTTTACATGGATTTATTATTTATTAATGAAAAAGTTTGATTATGAAAATTATATTTTAGAAAAATAATATGACTATACGTATATATGAGTATTATATTATTTAACATATATCGAAAAATACAAAATAAAAATTCATTAAAACAAAAAAAATTATTTGTTTTCATACAGATATTTGGACCCCATTAATAGTCTAATGTTTTTTTAATCAATATTGATTTGAATAATACTTATTAGCAATAATATTTTCTTATAATCATCATCTAATCTTAGTCATGAAATGTCACATCCTATTCTCTGAGCGATTGAAATACGACCAGAACATTCCGGAAAATATGTCGTATGCACTTGAAAGCATGTATTCAATGATTAAATATGATGATGAAGATTTTTCAGTTCCGTTCGTAAGTGACCGTAACAGAGCAAAGCTATTCATCGGATTACTGCTTCAAAGTTCGTACTATTTTCCAGTCGGAAACAACATATTTCCGGTGAAGATTCACGGAATCGGGCATCGAAATCATTGATGTATGTGTTATAGTTTTTCATTATTGTTGAGTTCAATATTCTTTTACTAGTATGCCACATTTTTTTTTATTCTCTTCCTTTATTTAATAGGTTCTAATATTTATAAAGTATGTTCCATAATAACTGATGATAAATTGTCAATGACATTTTTCATACTTTTCTCGATGTAGGAGACTGAAATTTTTATCACATGTATATCTAATTAAGATCTTTAATTTTGCAAAGTTTTAGCTCTCTAACTAAAATTAGTATCGGAATGCATGGACAAGATTAAAATACATGAATTTTCGTTATCTAATAGAAAAATTTATGCATTTCAGTACTAGCTTTAGCTGGAGAGCTGAAACCTTGGAAAAATTAAAGATTTTAGTTAGATATATATATATATATGATAAAAATTTCAGTCTTTTACATCAAGAAAAAGTATGAAAAATGTCGTTGACAATTTATCGTCAGTTATCATGAGACATCCTTTAACGTGGTAAAATTATATGACGTTTCAATACTAGAAGCAACTTCTCCAAGTAAGATGCAATATATACATTACAATATATTTTATGAAAAGAAGACAGAAACCAACAGAATGATATTTTACTTTTATAGTGATATGCAGCAAGACAGTATGAGTAATTATCTAGATGGATGAATCATTATCATATCACTATAAAAATGATACTGAATCTATTAAATAATTAAGGAATATAAATAAAAATATCTACGAATTCGTCAATCTTCTACACATGAAAAAAAAAGTATTTCTTTTTTACTATATTCAAAATTTGATAGTCTTTTGAATCTTACAGTTGTTGAAAAAAAAATATTATAATCTAAACAACAACTTCTTATTACACGCTCGTGCTTATTAATGATATGACAAAAGCACGAAGGTCAGTTGATAACAAATATGTTTGTTTCTTTTGTTTTATACTTATATAATATTTTAAAAGTTATAATCGTGTATTTTCTTGTTTTAGATGAGAAACATATTACCCATTAGATTAGATTTATTATTATTAATACTAGGCTTTCTTATTGTGTTAGGTACTTCGTTGGTATTAGGCCTTATTGGACATTTCTTCTATTGGCTTTTATATGATTCATTTGGTCGTTATGAAAAACGAGCTAAAAGAAAATTGAAATGTATAAATAATCAACGAGATGATGAATACTATGTTATTATAATTGGTACTGGTTTTTCTGGTCTTGGTATGGCTATTAAAATGAATGACCTTGGAATGGATAATTATATTGTAATTGAACGATATGGACATGTTGGTGGTACATGGTATGCTAATAAATATCCAGGTTGTGCATGTGATGTTCCATCAAATCTTTATTCATTTTCATTTGAACCTAATCCAAAATGGTCACATTATTTTAGTCGACAACCTGAAATAGCTGAATATCTTGAATATTGTACAGATAAATATAATATTCGTCGACATATTCATTTTAATACAAATGTTACAAAATTAAAATGGATTGAAGAACAAAAATTATGGCAAGTTACAACTCAATCAAATAGTCAAGAGAAAATTTTCTATGCTCGATCGATAGTTCTTGGTTCTGGACCATTATCAAATGCTTCTTATCCAACTGATATTCTTGGTATTGATAGATTTGAAGGTCAAATGTGTCATACAGCTGAATGGGATCAATCGATTGATGTTAAAAATAAACGTGTAGCTGTTATTGGTACTGGAGCAAGTGCTATTCAAACTGTACCGGAAATTCAACAAATGAATGTGTCACAATTACTTGTTTTTCAACGAACACCACCATGGGTGATTCCTCGACTTGATCGATCGATAACTGACTGGGAAAAAAATTTATTAAAACGTTTTCCAATTATTCAAAAATTGATTCGTGTTATCATTTATTGGATAATTGAATCTGTTGCACTTTCATTTGCTTATCGTTGGTCATTGAAATTTATAAATGATAAATTAGTTAAATATAATCTTGAAAGACAAGTTAAAGATATAGAATTAAGAAAAAAAGTAACACCAACATGGGAATTTGGATGTAAACGTATGTTAATAACTAATGATTGGTATTCAACATTACAAAAATCAAATGTAAAACTTATAACAAATCGTATTAAACAAATTAAATCACATTCAATTATTACTTATGATGGAGATGAATATCCAGTTGATATTATTATTTGGTCAACAGGATTTCAAACACAAAAATTTCCATTACCTGTTTACGGAATTAATGGTTGCTCATTAACTGAACAATGGTCTGAAACAATACAAGTTAGTATATTTAATAAGAATATTAGATACATATATATTTGTTTAAATTTATGTTCGATAGGCATATCGTGGTGTAACTGTACCTAATTTTCCAAATTTCTTTATTCTTCTTGGTCCAAATACAGTTCTTGGTCATTCTTCAGTTATAATTATGATTGAATCACAAATAAACTATATAGCCCAAGCATTTCTTTATATGGATCAAAATAATCTACGATCCATTGAAATAAAAGAAGATATATATGAGAAATTTAATAAAGATTTACAATTAAAATTAAAGAGAACAGTATGGCAAAAAGGTGGTTGTCATGCATGGTATCAAGATGCTAAAGGTAATAATACTTCTCTATGGCCTGATTTTACATGGATTTATATATTATTAATGAAAAATTTTGATTATGAAAATTATATTTTCCGAACATAAATACTAATAATTAAAATCTATCTTTATTTGATATACAACAATAAAAAAAGAAAAAAGAAAAATGGACATCAAATTTTTTTTTCGCATTGATCCAATGTATTAGTTCGTGTTATTTGTTTAAGAAGACGTTTTCTAGCATTTCGTGCTTCTAATGCACTCATCATTGCACCATTTTGATGATGAGTTGATTTAAGACGAGGCCATGAAAGAACTCGTCGAGGTGGAATATCTAATGTTTCTAATGGTGGAATTAAATTATTATTTACTATACTTGGTCTTAAATCAGCAATTAATGATGATAAATGTTGATCTAAAAATGATGGTTGTTGATGTGTTGGAACAAATAGACGTCGAATAAAACGACGTAAAATATGTCGACGTCGTCTATATGGAATTGGATTTGATTCAATTTGTTGATTTGTTGTTTGTTGAAGAAGTTGTTGTTGTTGTCGATATTGTACAAAATGCCATTGTTGACATGCATCAACAATCCATGAAGCAGTTGCTATTTGATTATCACGTGGTTCTTCAGTTGGTAATTCAAGATAAGGTGATAGACCATCACGATTACGTTCAATTTCTTTTGCTTCAAGTAAATCAACTTGTTTTAACCAATAATCTAAATCAAATTTATTTGCTGATAAATGTGGATTATTAATATCTGATTTTGATAATGATGATGAACGACATAAACGTGCACGAGCTTTCCAAAGTAGATGAATAACGACCAATAATAACATACCTAAACAATTTCATTATATGACAATATACGATTATTTGAATAATTAGAAATGATAACTTATTTAGAAAAACAAAAAAGATTTTTGGGTTACAATATATTTATTGAATGTTCGATTATTTAGCGGATAATGAGTAAAAATAAAAATTTCTTTTCTAACTTAATACTAGTTAATGAGGAATTATTTGTAAGTTAATCCTATAAGATTTTTTCTTAAAATAATTTTCAATTCTCTACTATTATAGAGTTTCTACTAAATTAGACGTTCATAATAAGCTAAAACTTAAAAACAATTTAAGGTTATAAATATTTCTCAATGAACTTCATTCTATGTAAAATTATATTTTATCAAAGATAAAAAATTGTATATTTATTTTTTGAAATTCACTAAGGTAATCAATGATAGATAACCGATTTTTCTTCTTACTGAACATGATAATTTAGAATATATGTCATCAGACCTATGAAAAAAAGCTTTCAATTGATTAAACACTTTTGAGTGAGAATTATGTGCATCATGTAAATTCTAGTAAGTTATGAATATCTGAAAAGTGTTCGATTCTTCAGCTTACTGCTGCTATGATACTGAATGCCGTAGTCTTTCATAAAAACATCCAAAAAACTAATTTTCGATTGAAAACTTTGCACAGAGATAAGTCTTAACGAAAATAATGTATTTGAGAAAGTTTCAAATCTTTTGATTTGTTCTTTTTCTGAAATAAGAATATCAAATTTGTCAATGTAAAAAAACCAAGCACGTTTTTACCATAGCCGTATGTTAAGATACGAACAACGAAAGGATCTGAAACTTTCTCTATAACCTATTCTCATTAAGTTTTATTTCTATGCAAAGTTTTCAATCAAAAATTAGTTTTCCGAGATGTTTCTGTGAAAGATTACGGCATTCAATATTTTAGCAACAATAAGCTAAAGACCCAAACTCTTTTCAAAGTACTCATAACTCATTAACATCTACATGATGCACACAGTTCTAACTCAAAACTAATTAATCACTTAGAAGATTTTTAGTTAACATTCAAAAAATGTCATTTTTTAATATAGGCATTTCCTCCGTATAAATAAATAATGGTTTTTAACACATTTATTATCAATGTCGGAAACATTTCACTATTCATCAATCTAAGTAGTACTTATCGTCGATCAAATATATATACATTCATATGAATCTATTTTGTTAATAACACTATATTCATTCATAAATTCTTTAGAAAAAAAAAAAAAGAAATACTCGTATTCTTATTTCATGGAGATTTGTTTTTTTACAATGCTTTTGTTTGAATACAATAGATAAAGGATTATTACAAAAATAAGAAAAACCTATAGAAGCATTTCTATTCTTAAATTTATATCGGAAAATTATGAAATGAAATCATCTTTTTTTTTTGCCTCAATAGTTAATTTTTATGCAATAATAAATCTATGAACATCTTATACTAAAAGAATGGATAGATAATTTTTGTTTTTGTCTATTATAAATAACATACCACCAAGAAGAGCTCCTATCCTAATGCCTGTTTTAACCGAATAGGTTTCATCCAATGAAGATTGTTGATATTGAATTGTAGAAGTTGAAAGTGAACTAATATTTGAAATGAATGAAGTAGTTGTATAAGTAATTGTTGTATTTTGTTTTCGTTTTTGATATTTTTTACTAATATTTAATAGATGATAAATAGATGTTGTTGTAATAATATTTAATGATGGCAAATTCAAAGAATTGTTTATATAATTGAATGGGTACATTATCTGTTGTATTAATGTTCTTCATTGCGATTTTTTACTAATATTAATTTATATTGTCGTTGCTGCCACTGACATTCATCTATCAATATATACATCAAATAATATAAAAGTATATAAAAATTAGAAAAGAAAAGGAAATGAAGAAAGTCAAATTCGATTTATAATAGCAAAAAAGAAAAAGAAAGAGTTTCTAACATAGTTCATTAATATGAACAAATAGAAACAAAGAAAGAAAGAAAGAAAGAAAGAACGTGATGTAGACAATACCATTAATATCCTTCTTTTTTTCTGTTTGATAGAAACACACATACATGAACACAAATAATTGCTTCGAGGTCTCACTTAGAATTATTATTATTTTTTTTTCTCTTTTGCATTCTGTCAAAAATAATTGAGATGTTAGACAATACACTCATATGAGAAAAAAGAACGAAATAAGATCATATTTGTTCTTTTTATAGTTCAGTTAAATAATCTATTTCTTTTTTTACCCAGAGGATAATAATTTACAAGTTAATTGTATTTTAACAAATATCTACACAATATGTCTAGTTAATCTAAAGAATAGTCTGACATATAAAGAGAGTATGATGTTATACATAATTAGAATGTTGAAATAAAGAGAAATATTGAAAAACAATACAAACAATAATATTGGAAAATAGAAGGTTTTCCGGCCGTTTTTTATTTTTATTTTTAATTACAGATGTTGTTATTTCCTAAGAAGAAAATGATTTCTTTACCCATTTGTTTTTTAATTAAAACGACATAATAAATAATAAGTAGTTTGGAATCAAAAGGTATCAATTCTCTTACTACCGATACTAGGAAAGCAAACTTACATATGCAAGTAATCATCAATGTCGTTTGTCATTGTTCTCTTTTTTTTCTATTATTTCAGATCAGAAGAAAAAGCGACAAGTAGCGAAAATGATCGCTCTTGTTCCGTTCTTTTTTTTTCCCTTGTCCTTTTACATGAGATGATGTAGAATATTGCATGTGTTATTTTTCCGATGCAAAAAGAATCTCCTGGCAATTAGGAACGTGTGCATTTGTTCATTCATTCTACATAGTCTTCACATAGAATATTGCATTCGATTCTGTGAGTCGAGAACATCAAATGAGACAAGATGTAGATGAGTTGCCGAATTGAGATAAAGACTGAGTACTAATCGGATTTCATTTGCATATAGAACTAAAAACATACAATAGACAACTGAAGAAGATTCTTCTGTGAATATTGTTATTAATATTTTCATGAAAACAAAATATATAAAACTGAATAATATTGTTCTTTGTAAAAAAAAAAAAAAGATTTTTATCAAGTACAACTTCAATTATATTCAAATTAAGTCTTGTTTTACAATCACTTTTCAATGTTTCTAGAGAAGAATTCAAAACAACAGTCATGAATCATCAAATAAGAAAACTATATATAGGATGTGAGCAAAAAAAAAAAGAAAAGCAAAAATTATTCTATAAATTCATCAAAACGTTAACAGATGACTGATAATAGTATTAACCCACGTATTCCAAAAAAAAAGCAACGCATATTAAATTATTTTAAAGGTAAATAAAATATTTAAACTTTATAAACACTTATGAAATAATAAAACATCTCTACGATAACGTCAATCCAACGACAACAATCAGAAATCGGAGTACTAAAACATAATTACTTTCACAAAACTATTGACAATACTGTAGAACACTAGATACTTTACTCAATTACTGATGTCTTATACCAAAACGAATAATGCCTATCGTCTATCATGAAATATAGTCATTTTCATTATCAATACAATTTTATTTATTCAATTTATCATATATTTTACCTTATACGTAGATAAATATAAGAGAAATTCAACATAATATTGATATAGTAAAGTTGAATAATGAAATATTAATTTATGAAATAAATACGACAATTGATTAACTGAAGTTTTATTTTGTAGTAGATTTATAAAATATTTTCTTGAATGAAATAGAAACAGAATGAATATCTACTTGCAAAAGATAATAATAATGATGATGAAAAATAAGATACGTAACAGTGTGATAGATAAATTAATCAAAATAACATTGCGTGATGTCTATTCATAATATTCAACATGACATTGTTTAATAATACACCTGAGAGAAAAACACGAAATAGTAGAATTATACTCTGGAAAACAAGTGACTATCTCAATAAAATAGTGAACAATTAAAAACTCTTCGAATAAAGGACAATAGAACATCATAAGAAATCAAATATAATGTTTGATTCTTTAATAAAACTAAATAATTATTCTTATAAAATATGTTATTTTAAAGAGAAAATTATCTATTCGTTAAATAATATTCTATTTATTTTTGATATAGAAAGATGTTTTTCTTTTTCTAAGATTTCAATCATATTGTTAATCATGCAATATATAGTGAAAGATAAGTAGCTCAATTTCTACTCTATACTTTTTTTTTCAATTGTTTCCTTTTTTATTTCATGATCTATTATCTGTTGGTTATCTCTCTATTATATAGCACGGCATATAATGGTGTATTTATTGCGCATATACATGCACAGCTGTATTCAAAGAAAAATGAATGTCGCAAATTCAGGTGAGGAAAAAAACCGAGAAAACGAAAGTTAGGGAGATTACAAATCTTGAAAAAGAAAAATTTTGATTTTTCGTTCTGAAACCTTGATTTTAATACGCACCAGATTTTTGTATTTCTGGATATTTGACTTCTCCATATCGAAAAGATGCTGTGAAATTAGACAACCGCTGGCTTTGAAGAGGTTCTCTCCTACGGACGGGGCCAAAAAAAGTGTTCACATTCGAGAAATTCATTTGCAACACAAAAAAAAATAATTTCAGGGGATCAGCAAGTATCTCCAATATGAAAGTTTCATTGTAGTTGTTTTCCGAGAGAAGATTTTCGAGTGTGAGTCACCAATTGAATTAATATTTTACCTCTTAGTGAGCTCTATGAAACTTATAGTAGCTTACGAAGGTTCGTTCCCATCCGCTGTTCTTCCTAAGACATTACAATTTTATTGAATGTTTTATCTTTGGCAAGTTATTTGTAAAAAAATCGAGTGATATCTTCCCTCAACTGAAGAGAGGGTCATATGAAAAAACCACAAAATGCGTTTGTCTGTTTATTTGTCGGGATCAGCGTTTCTAATGGAACGGTGACTCAGAGGGTACAGACAAAGGATTTCCTTTGTTTCGCAAAGTGTACCGTACACTTTGCGAAACAAAGGAAATCCTTTGTCTGACCCTCTGAGTCATCGTTCCATTAGAAACACTGGTCGGGATCAAAGGTAAAAAAAACATCGCCTTAAAAGTTCAATGGAAGACGTTTTTCTCCATCTTAAAAGGACGGAGTCTTCACAATAGAAATTTGTATGTTTCTTCGGTGTCTGATTGGTCGAAAAATGGACCAATCAGATTCTTTCAGGCTGTAAGTTCAGCCAATCAGATGTTTTCACTCTTCAGCTCTTGTCCAATGAGATTTTTATCAAGCTGATAGTTCAACGAATGAAATGTTTTTGTTATTCCGTTTTTGTTCAATCAGGCTTTTTCAGTCGGGAAGTTCAATCAATCAGATGTGGTTGTTGTGTGGCTGTCCTGCAATCAAATGTTTCAAGACTGGGAGTTTCACAATAAAATATTAAGTCTGTCTTGTAACAGTTCAAAAGTGTCTCCGCTCCTTTTTTCAACTGGATCGATGTCTCGTGGCTATTTAACGTTAATTAGGGCTATTTAAGCTAATTAAGGCAAAGTAATGTAACTGAAGTTAGTCAAGTCGCATTAAGTCTATTTAATAGTAACTAAGGTAACTAAACTAGTTATGCAATAAGCGAAACGTGAATCAGCTTGGTTTTTCCCTCGACTGAAAAGAGAGTCATAAGAAAAAAACTGAAAGGTGTTTGTTTCTTTGTGGCAGGTCAAAGGTCAATAAAACATCGGCATAGAAAACCTTAAGGGCTATACCACCGAGGTACCCATAGGCCCTCAAGTGTTACTATATAGAGGTGCCCATAGGTCCTCAGCGGCTGTGCTATAAGGGTACTCATAGGTCCTCAGGTCCTATATTCTGAGGGTACCCATAGGTCCTCAGGAGCTACTCTATAGAGATACCCGTAGGTCCCCAAGTCCTATATTATGGAAGTACCCGTAGGTCCTTAGGGGCTACTATATAGGGGTACCCATAGGTCCCGAAGTCCTATATTATGGAGGTACTCAAAGATCCTCCAGTCCTATATTGTGGAGGTACCCATAGGTCCTCAGGTGCTTCATTATAAGGGTATGAATGGATCCTCAATTGCTGTTACGCAACTGGAAATCAGCGGAGAAGTGGCAAACCAGCGCAATCCTTTTCAGCGAAGAAAGACAGCGAAAAAAATGAGCGAAAGGTTTTTCAAGCTGAGGGTAAAGGTGTAAAGTGGAAGTGAGGGTGCAAAGTAAGCGTGGGGTGCAGAGTGTGGGTGAAGGCGAAATGTACTTTGGCTAGTATGTATTTCGCGCTTTTTTTCGCTGAAAATTTGTTCGCTTAAATGTTCTTCGCTGGATGGACACCATATCGAAATCAGTTGATGTAATGTATGTAGCAGTGGCGTAAGCAAGCGAGTACTGGTGAGAATCAGCCTACTGTCTCGTTAAAAGCTTGCAGTCCTATCACTTGATGAAGCTGATGGAGACAATTTCTAGTGCAAGCCATCTGGGCGTAGGAAATTTCAGAGCCAAACCCTATAATTGTTATGCTGATGGCTACACTACTAATTTGAAATATATATCTTGTAAACAAATTGTCAATCGATGGGATTCGATCGGTTGGAATACTGGCGAACAGCTGAAAAGTTTTTCTATAAATCAGTTCTGAGAAACAATTTTTCTGCAGGAATAAAACATTTTCAAAGAACATTTGACAGAAAATATCATTTAACAAGTTTGTAGTAACATAGCCTGAGCGTTGATAAAAAAGTAGATATTTCTTTGTTGAAATTCAAGAGATAGGATTGCGAATACCGGGTTGAGTATCACTGTCATACAGAAACCATATCACCTTGCTTGTAGAGCCACACAATGGAGCTACTAGCCGTGAGTGGTGCTCCGGAGGGGCGCCGATGAATCACTAGCCACTCATCGGTATTATTAATAAAACGTATTTAGAGATTAAAATATGTAATGCGAAGTGTGGCCATTTATTAGGGTGTGGGTGTAGGTATTATATGCTTGCACACCCACACTTTTAGTATATAATATAAGCATTTTAGACTTTATAAAACCTGTTTCTTTTGTCAATCTGTTTGTGATATCAAGCAAATAAACAGAGGTTCAATGATAGAGAAGTTTTATTGTCTTTTAGCTACAGATAATGTCAATACTGGCTATTTATATCTTAACAAGAATGTAAACTATGAAGTACAAATAAAAAATATCTATCTTCATTATTTGAAATAATCAACATTAAAATGCAATCGTAAAAAAAACTAATATTTTCTTTTTCGCTCTGTTTATTTTTAGTTTCTTCTCAACATCAAATACCAATAGAGTATGTTTAATATAGAAATACATTTCTTCAATGATCTTCTATAATTAATTTCAAAATTATATGAAAATACAAAATAAAATTTATTTATTGTGTCTTCATGTTCACTACACAATATTCTGGAGTGAATATCTGAAATGCTCAGATACGAATAAAGCAAAAGAATAGTTCTTTTTTTTTATAAAGTTATTTTTATAATACAAAATTCAAGTAATTCTTCTGTTGTTAACACAAACTATTTTGCATTATGCATTTTCTTTTTCAAGTAATAACTAAGTTTTATTTGATATTAAGGATATGATCATATAAATGCACACGCTGTTCTTTTCCTTCTCGTTCACATCTGCGAAAAGAAAGAGAACCGATAAAGACCAGTTCCAATTCTGAGTAAAGGTATATAAATAAATCTGTATCCAGTTATGCTACCAAAAATTTAAATGTTGGCTGTGTATCTGTATGGATGGTATGGTAATTTATAAAGAAGAAAACTCTAACCTATATGGGTTATTGTAAAGGATTCAAACAATATGGTGAAATCAAATTGTACGATCTTGCATGAACATGCAAGAATCTGTGATTGATCTCACTGTCTGATGGATTGACTTGGATCCATTCGTTTGAGCTAAAACTTTTAGAATGTAATAATTGTTATGAGATCTGTTATTGGGAGAAAGTTTCACATAGAGACTCGTTATTGCAGTTTTTTTTGCTAATATCCTGCAATATGCTGAAAATTTAATAGAACAATCATGAAAGGCTTAAGAGCACGAACATGTTTAATGTTTTCATCATGACTATGAGTCCTACTTATGAGCTCGAACAGAGGATGTCAGTTGGAGAAGTTCTCTCAATATCTATTTGCTGATAAATAGGACAAAAAAATGTTTGCTCATGTTTTTACTAGAGTCATACAAATTATACTTAAAAAACAAAACGATTAATATATTATCTAGTTTATATTCGATCAAAATTTTTCTTTTCTCTGAGTTATTATTCAAATCATAACACAAAAACTAGGAAATATTTGATACTTTTCGAGAAAATATCTATATGAAAAAAATATCTATCTTCACGAATTTTTAGGTGTAGTAACAGAAATTGGTGATATGATTAGATGTTTTTTTAGTTTTACATTTGATTCTTGTCGTTGTAACATTTTAGCAGCAGCATGATGAAAATCTGATTGATTAAATAAAAATACACTAACATGTCCATGAGGAGCATATCGAATATGAATACCAGGCCACACATCATTCATATCAGATATATTTGGTTGAACTGAACGTGAATAATTATATAAAGATATAAATTCATCCATAAGAAGACGCATCATATCTTTAATAAGATTGAGAACAATTTTATTTGAATCTATTGATCGATCTCGTTCACGTAAATAATCATAAAATGTTTGAGAGGCTTTATTTTTATAGAATTGTTGACAAGGTGGATCAGACCATCTAAAATATAAATATATACACAATGGCTACCAAAATGATTCAACTTTTACTCAATAAAAAACCATCCTAGAGAGTTCAAGTACTAGATACTAAGAAATTAGGCTTTTGGGTTGTCTAAAAAAATCCTAACTTAGGGAATCAAATAATCAATGTTTTTAATTTATATTCTTTTTGTAATATGGTTTGCTCTACTTGAATCATTATTTGAAATTATGATAGTACTGTATATCCATTCATTAAACAGATCAAATAATAGAATTGAATCTTACTTTGTAGATGCTAATGAAGCCATATGTCCACCAAGAGAAAAACCATGTAGAATAGCTGGTGTTAATTTCATTTTTTGACACCAATGAAGTAATACAAGTGTTTTACCCATAATACATAAATCAGTAACATATAATAATGATGAACGAGATTGATCTGATGGTTTTCTTAAACCATAATATGGATTTTCAAGAAGAATTGAACCTATAGAATATTGATTAATTAATGGGACTGCAGTAAATAACCTTCGTCGACTAAAACCATGATCACCTGTTCCAGCATAACAAATTTCTATTGGAATTGAATCAATACCAAAATGACGATCACATGGTAAAACAAGTTGAAAATGAGCTGTAGCTATTTGAGATGGAACCTATTTAAATAAATATAATAAAACAAAAAAGATAATATTAATTAAATGATTAAAATAATTTTAATTACTTACCAAATGTGGTAAATAATTGGCAAGTGGTAAACTAAATCGAGCATTTATATAATTTTGATTACCTTTTTGTTTCTTGTTTAATTATTTCAACAGTATTTTCCTGTACATTTTCAGCTGGTACAAGTTCTAAACACTCACCTTTTACACCAATTTTTTCACGTAGATAGATAAAAATTTCTTGTAAATGAAATGGAATTGTTGATCTGATCTTCTTTTTCGTTAATCGAACAAAAAACAGAATAATATAATGCTTTAGTATTCTCAATATTATATAAACACACACACACACATACAAAAAAAACTCTTATATGTTCTTTTTATTTTCCTAAATCAATCTCGTTAGTTTACTATGAAAACAAAAAACAATATTTTTATTGCATAGCACCAGTAATATTAAATAACATTTGAGGACCATATGGTAAATAGACGCTATTTCTTGATTTTGATAATTGATTTGCAATACCTTCAGCGGCTTCAATTTGTCGAAGTTCGATCAAACCTAACATGAATATTAAAACAAAGTAAAACAGGATAATAAAAGATATTCGAAAATTTACCATCACCAGCTTCATCTAAAGCTTTGCCAATCAAATCAGCTGCACGAGCATCACCTTCTGCTGCAATAACATTTGCTTGACGACTTTGATCCGTCTGTTTTTTTTATCAAAAAAAACAAATTCATACAAATTTTATTCTTATTCATTTACTTTTTCGGCTAAAAATCGTTGTTTTTCAACATCTTGTTGTACAACTTGTTTTAATTCAACAGCACTTGTAAATTCAGGTCTAAAACTTAAATGTGTCTAATTTAAAGAAAAAAACTATATATAATCAACTCGAGACTCTTTTTTGTTGTATCTTACAATTGAAATATCATCAAGTAATAAACTAAATTGAGCAGCACGTTCTGTTAATAATTCACTAACACGTTGAGAAATAAGTGTATGTTGTGTAATCAATTCAATAGCATCAAATTGAGACTAAAAATCAGTTTAATTATTCATAGTAACAAAAACAAAAGTGTTTGAGATTTAGTACAACAGATTTTAAAACTTCATTAATAATCGATGGTAAAACACGTTCTTCATAATCTAAACCCAAATTTGCAAAAACTTTTTGGTAAAAGTTCAGCTCTTGGTCGATAAAGAATACGTAATGTTATATTAAGTGTTTGTAAATCTAAAATAAAAATAATAAAATGTAATTTATGCATATTTCATTTATACAAAGAAAAAATAACGGAGACTTCCGATTTTAAGTTTTATGAAGTATCCTAAGATTGGTGAATGATGGGAGTGTAGAGGTGTAAACCGATCAGTTGAGTCGCCATCGATGGCCGCAAAATTTTTTAAGATACCTAGCCATATACATTCATTGATGTTTCAATAGACATCGCATTTATCTTCTTTTTTTCGCGAGCTTACATTTTCCTCATGTTCATCCCTCTCCTGAAGTTGACTGTTTTCTTCTAGCTTTTATATCTTTTGTTCCTGTTATTGATGGAACAGATCGTGGTCGTGTACGAACATCAAATATAATTGGTCTATGAAGCCATGAAATCATAAAATGAGTTCCTTCTTCAATAACATCTAGTTTAACACCTTGAAAACAATCAAAAATAACATTTCGATGACCACCATTTTACTAGAATATATTTATATTTAAAGAAAACAAGTTTTTTTTAAATCTTTTCATTAATTACCATTATAAAGCATAGAATTAATCACACCAACAGCAATACCTAAACCAATATCAATTCTTCCTGAAATAATAAATTCTTCTATCGAAATAAAACATTATCTCAGTATCTTACCAATATTATTAAATAAACGAGATGAAGTCATTGTCTTTTTTTTCTTCTAAAAGAAAAACATGCATAATCATAATCAAATTAAATTTGTTTAGTTATTTTGTTTTTATTAGCAAATAGTTCCAGAAACAAAACGAAACCATATGAAAATTCATCATATCTCTATCGATAGAAAAAGAAAATGCATCACTATTTAATCTACCTATCCACTGCAATAACAAAACAATGTAATATATACATAGAAAAATAAAAATAAAACGTGTATAAAGTTTAGCACCTCTCAGATATTGTTCATCGATTCGATTGTCGAGCTTGCCCACGATTATTACATGTCGGAAAATGTTCACCATTTGGTTTTAATGAATTTGATGTATCACTGTTCTTTGCTACTGCAGTAGCAATTGCTTTGGGTGCTGGAACAGTCTATAAAGAAATTATTTATACAATAGAAAAAAAAAATGTTTTTTCAATCACTATAATTTGATTTTGTTGGAAAAAATTGTTGTGAAAATGATGCGCCATCAACACGAAAATCTTCAAGATTTTTATAGTTTTTTAAAATTTCTTCAAGTTTTGGATTGATTTTTAGTTTTTGTCGAGAATACTTTAAAAATGCCTAGAATTTTTCTAAACCATATAATTGACTTAAATAGAAAATTTTTTTTTATTATTGACACTTTTCTTTTTTTTTTGTGTAATCTATTTTATTACCAGCTTCATGATCACAAAGAGTTTCTTGTTGAAAACCTTCAAACACATGTTGACGAAAATGTTTTTCTATACCATATGTATAAAATCAAAATAGACATTCAACACCATATCTATACATAAATAATAATATTCAATTTTTTTCATATTATTTTTCGTAAAAACAATTCATAATATATGCCGATGATCAGTTTTAGTATCTTCAACAGCATATTGTTTAAATTCATTGTACATATGGCGATTAAAATTTTCACGTAAGAAAAATAACTAAACACGATAGAGTGTATTCATTTCCATTGATTGACCAGGACCAAGTTTAACGCTTTCTAGAAATTAGATCATTACAGAAAAAAAAATGTATTTTATTTGTAAATCAACATAACTTTAGATTATAAATATTTTCTATAAAATAATAAAGTTTGGCGATTAGTGAAACTTAGTGTTTTTAATCATTGACGATTATTTTATTGCTTTTCAAATTTATCATGTAGATAAGAATGATAATATTTATTAAAAAAACTCCATAAAAGAGTAAAATCTTTGTTTTTTTTTTGAAAATTATAGCGACAGACATATTCTCAATTATCTATTTAAATAAGAATATAAGTCTTTTTAGACTCTGATTTTTACTGGAGAGCAGTTTTCACTGTTGTTTCTAGATATGTTGACTGTTCTTTATTCATTAAGAGACTCGTTTTTTATACGTTCAATGCAACATAATTTCAATCTTTTTTTACCAGTAGCTTGTTTCTTTCGAAATATTGTAAATATGTACTGAACGAATAATCTTTTTTTTCTCTACAATCAACATTTCTTTTTTACCATCAAGATATTGTTGTTTATATTTAAGATAAACTTGTTGAGTAAAATCATTTTGTTGTAAAAGTGTATGAGATGAATGTTGAACCATAAAAATCATATGAATTTGAATTATTTCCATGCCAATAATGTCAATCATTGTATGATGATGAATATTGATCATTGAAATCTTGTTGTCGAGTTCTAAATAAGTAAAACTCATTTTATACTAATAATAATTGATATTCAATTGTTTGTATTAGGAACAAAAAATATAAGAAAATTCGTCGAAAAAACAATAAAGCAACACAAGTTATTTTTTTACTATATCCATTTACCTTATCCATATTGAACGATAAGAAAAATGATCTTATTAACTGTAATAAGTAAAGTGAAAGCAAAACGTTTAGAAATGCAGTGTTTTTAACTTCTTTTCTTAACGATAATAACTACTATCCATTTCAAAATATATTGTACTCCGTTGTTTTTTAAATAACTTTTGATAGGAATATCACAGAGACCTGCGATTTTCACCATTTAAAAGAGAAGATCCAAAGCAATCGAAATATATCAAAATTTCATTGGCTAATTGGATAAGTTCTTGGCGAGAATTTTGGAAGGTTTCGGATCTTCTCTCTTGAATGGTGAAAGCCGAAGATCTCTGTGATGTTCCTATCAAAAGGTATTCAAAAAAAACAATGAAGCACATTATATTTTGAAATGAGAAGTAGAACAAATCAAAGAATCATTAAAACATTTTTTTTTAAATTGGCATCAGCTGTTTCTAATTTTCGTTGAGCTTTTTCATAATTATCTCTTAGTTCAGTCATTGTTTGACGAACAGTTGACTTATATTAGAAATAAATCAATAAATAAATCAATACTTGTTTATCTCTAGCTTGTTCAATAATCTTTTTAAATTGTTTAAGCCATTCTTTTCTTTTTGAATCAATAAAATCATGTATTTGAATTAAATCATCAACTGTTTGATTTAAAATCGATAAAGCACCATTTGTTCTATATGGAGAGCGATAACAACGTGCAACATCACTCAAACGAAATTCTTTCAATGATTTTGATACATTCTTATCAATACTTTTATTTAACTTACAAAATCTTTATTTATTTTCCAAAGATCAGACAATACTTTACAAGAATCTGGAATATAACGAACTCGATTGTATTAATCAGGTACATCATCACTTCTATATTAATAAATATAAAAAAAACAAAATATTTTCATTTTTTATTTTCGAATTTCTTTGTTTAACCATATCGATAAATATCCTATTCAAATAAATTTATTTTCAAAACATTTTTATACGGATCGATTAAATTTATTTCCTTAGAAATTTTTAATCGATAATTCGAACTATTTTATCATTATTTCGTCTTATAGAACATTTCTATCTAGCAGTTAAAAACAGATTTTCGATAAAACACATTCGAATCAGATGAAATATTAATCATTTGTTAGCGATCGTTCAGTGGAGAGAAATAAATTGTGTCAAAACTGTTCAGGTCAATATAATGTTTCTAGAATAGATTATTAAAATAATAAATAATCTTCGCTGTCAATCTTTATATATAATAAGATAATCAATATAGATTCATCTAGAAATCGATTTATATAATAAATAACGAATTTTGGACCAAATGCAAGGAGATAGTTAACTATTTAAATTAGCTTTGAAAAAACAATAATAAAGATTTAATATGAAAGTTTGTTTTTTTTAATTCTACGAATATGAAAACCATTCTTTCAATCCATTTAAATAATATAAAACGTTTGGTTAAATTTGAAAAATTCGTTTTAACAATTTGAATACTCTTCAAAACAAATGATATTTTATTTCTAAATAAAGAGTTTTTTTTAATGAAAAACAATAATATATAATTATTATCTAATCTCGACAATAATAACATAAAATAATTTCATTATAAAACTATAGAAAGATTTTTAACAAAAAAACACCAACAAAGGGTTAACTCAATTAAATTAAAATAAATAAATTAAATAAAATCTTATTTCTATCAATATTAGCCTAACCATTGAAATGATTTATTATATTAATATAAGATTTCATTATTTATTTAAGAGTTTTATTTATTTCAATAAATATCTTCCGTTCGTATAATATATGTTAAATCGATCGAGTTATTTCGATTTCTATTGAAAATAATTCTTTGAATATATTATATCTTTCGAATATAATTTATCAGTTTTTTTCCCCTCATTCCAATATTAAAAAACTATTTTATTAAATCGAAATAAACCAAACATTAATAAAGATAATAAATGAGATTTATTTTTATTTTTAAATAGAATATATCAATTCTATATATTATTTTATTTTTGAATCTCTAATATAAATAAATCTATTAATATTATAATATAACCATATTCAATAGAATTACAATTATAATAACAAAAACAAGAGAAACAT